AATTTGTAAAAAAAAAAAGGGTTAATTGCTAAATAAACATTAACCTTTTTGTGTTTGGCAATTTTATCCCAATCTTTGGGTAATTGTAATATAATCTCGACCTCAATTTACTTGTTACAAATTTTGGTGCAGAGTGATTGATTTTAGGGATTTGTTGATCGATTTTGTGTCCAAGTCGTCCATAGACACGGGTTTTTATGTCATTCACGTAGCAAGATGACAATTTCCACGTATTTAATGTATATCCACGCACAAAGCCGAAAATTCCACATCAATGTAAGCTACCGGTGATGAGTCTCCTCCTACATCTGGAGTGGACCGGTAAATATGAACTCCGATCTATTCGAACTGCCTTCAAATCGACCAGTTTTTTGAAGGTTCAACCGGTTTTAGGTTTGACGTGTAATAAGTACATAGAGGTTGAGATTATATTGCAATTACCTAAAGATTGAGATATATTTGCCAAACGCAAAAATGATAAGATTTATTTAGCAATTAACCCAAAAAAAATATGATGAATTAATTTCGTTACCTAAATTGGAGAATCCCGAGTCTTGAGGCTTTTGTGTTTTACTAACGACTTCAAAGAAATTCAGTCTCTAGAAAATTATTTGACTTTGACTTCTATTTATAATTTTGTAACAAGTCTATTACATAAATGTGATCCTCATAATTATTCAAATGAAATGATTAATAACTTTTATAATATTGAATTCTACAGCATAATTAAATCAATAACAATTATTTTTTTTATGTATATGAAAAGATAATAAAATAATAATTAGCAGATAAAATATTTGAATTGACCAATATTAATTTTTTTTTTAAAAGAAATGTATGCAGTAAGAGTTAAATTTATTTAAATTAAAAATAAATAATAAAAATAAATATAGAGAAGTGTGGGAATATTCTATCCAATTAATTACTCAACAATATCTGATAAGAGTAATAAATATATATATATATATATATTCGTTAGGAGAATTTTAAATAACCAAATTAAATCTTTTTCTAGGTGAAGAAGTAAATGCGATATTTATTTTGCGTATAGTTACTTATTAAATTGTTGGTAATATGTTTGGTTCAAATTGAATATAATTTTTTCTGCACCCATTAATTAGGTCAATTTGAAACGTACATTCTGATTGGGTACAAGTAGCTGAATAAAATTGAAGAATATGTGTAATATTATATTATACTAATAACAATTTAAATAAAGGAGTTCAATTATTAAATATTATATGTCTATATTATGTTATGTGTAGTATTGCAAAATGTGATATTTAAATAAAGGAGCTCAATTATTAAATATTATGTTATGTTATGTGTATATTTTATCGATTTATTATGATTTTTTTTTTTTGGTATAGGGACCTTCCGGTTTCCGGATCTACATGGGAACCGACTAATCCGAAATCGAGCCGGGTAGGACCACAAGGGCGGCAAAGCTCTCCCTCAAGAGTTTTAACACTGCTGCATTCCCTGGGCTCGAACACGAGACCACTAGTTAAGCTGAAGAGACCTAAGCCATCTCATCCAAGCACTCTTGAGTTTATTATGATTTTGATTTGTCCATACAAGTCTTGACTTTATACTAGGACTGTTGTGCTGCACTTGTGCTACAGCAGATTAATACCCTCGTGGAATGAAATATAGAAAAATGAGATACAGAAAAGAAAATGTTTGTTTCCAGTGGAAGGAAATTGACTATTGAGAAACATAAAGTAATAAATTATAATCACTGTTTATTTATAAGAAAAATAAATTCTAAAAATGGAAGTGTTAATGGCGTGCTTGGATGCAAATAAATCCGCTCAAAATCGATTTCTTGATTGACGAGGATTAGTTATGAAAAATTGATATGATTTGTTATCGAGATTTAAATTAATATTAATATAATATTAAAAATAAAATAATTAATGTTGATTTGACGTAAAAACCCAATAAAGATGATGTGAAATATTGATTAGCTACGATTATGCAAGTTGATTAATAGTAAAGTAATAAATTATAATCACTCTTATCTATAAAAAAAATATATTCTAAAAATGAAAGTGTTAATGGTGTGCTTGGATGCAAATACATCAGCTCCAAATCGATTTTCTTTAACCAGGATTAATTATAAAAAAGTTGGTACGATTTGTTATTGAGATTTTAATATTTATTAAAATAATATTAAAAATAAAATAATTAATGTTGATTTGACATAAAAATTGTAATAGAGATATGGAGTGTTGATTTGCTAAGATTATGTAAGTAGATTAATAGTATATTACACTTGACATGATATGTAAAAATAATTAGATGATATTATTTAAATATTGAAAATATTGAGAATAGTGAAATTGAGTTCTGGTTTTAAATTTTTATTATTAGTTGAGTTTATTTATAAAAGTTGTAAAGTTGTTTTGTGATTCGTGAAAATGTGTGTGTGTGTGTGTTTAAATATTATCTATTCATGAATTATATAAATTTTCTGCATTTTATTTACATGACCTTTGTTACAGAGAAATGTTACAATGCCAACTTAGTGTACAACTAGGTTGACAGCACAAGTAAAGAAAATCCATAAAAATAAAAAAAACACAAGTGGATGTTTTCACTTGTGTTGTCAACCTAGTTGTACATTAGGTGGGGGGTGCATAGTTTGACTAAAACCAAAAAAACTGACCGAACTGAAATTTTGATTCGGTTTTTATCCGACTCGGTCAGTTTTCGGTTTTAGTCGAATGAGTTTTCGGTTATTTCGGTCGGTGTCGGTTTTCGAACATCAAATGTCCGAAATAACCGAATCGACCGAATACTATATATATGTATATATATATTTATATAGTATAGAATAATATAATATATATTAATTATATTATATATATTTTAAAACGTATAGTTTGGTCGGTTTGACCAAACCAACCGAAACCAACCAATAAGTTCGGTCGGTTAATGTTCGGTTAAATTGATAATTCGGTCGGTTTTGGATTTCGGCATAATATGGTTCGGTTATTTCGGTTTTTCTAATCTAGTTCAGTCGGTCAACCGACACTAAAAAAAAACTCTTACATTCCAACGGAAATTTTCCGTTGGAATTTTTTATATTTCCGTTGGAATAACTATTCCAACGGATATTCTTACGTATAAAAATCCGTTGGAAAAACGGCCGTTGGAATTGCAAATATCCAACGGAAAATCCTATGGAAATAAATTACTACATCTATTTCAAAGGAAAAAATCCGTTGGAATTCCTCAACTATCAAACACTTATTCCAACATAAAATTAAGTTTGTTGGAATATTCATTGGAATTTCCAACGAAAATTTTTGCCGTTGGAATTTTTCGTTGGAATTGTAGTGTTTTTTTGTAGTGCGAACCGATTGATGCACACCCTTACACTAGGTTAGCTATGTATCATTTTTCTTTGTTATAACAAGGATATTTTGGAAAAGAAATATAAGAGAATTTCATTTTCAGTGGTCGGTAGTTGATCCACACTACTCCCTCCTATTTTTTTTAAATGTCATTCTAGCCTTTTCAATTACTTGCCAAATAAATGTCGTTTTGGATCTTTTGTACATATTTTTCCATTATTACCCTCATTTAACCAATAAATACATTACGTCTTTTCATATTCACTGTTCACTTTATCTCTAAACATTCATCTCTATCTTCATTAAATAAGGTTATTATTGACAAAAAAGGTATTCTTAATTAGTGTGCAACTTCTCAAAACGACATATATTAAAAATAGGAGGTAGTATTTTTTAACTAATTAATTGGTCATGATCCCTCAAAATTATAAATACATCATTTATTACATTTTACGCAATCAATATAGTGATTCATCTGCAATCAAACCATTATGTACTATTTATTTTAACCAATGACCAAATATTAAAACATAATCTCATTAACTTATAATTTTAATATTATATGCATAAATATAACTTATAATACTATGTGTTTCAAATACAATATATACCGTTATCTAACTAATAATTTTAATATTATATGCATACAAATAATTTATAATACTTTATTTATCGCCGTGCAAATCCACATAGTCGAATACTAGTTTACTTTCAAGTTCCAATAATAAGTTGTAATGTATAATAATAAGTGGTAATATATAA